TGGGTAATAATATTCCATTATTTTGAGCATGGTCTTTAATTTCTTGAAATTCCATTTCAATTTGATGTGCAAGTGATAAAGCTAAAACTGCATACATTTTTAAGCACATCTTTGCCTCTCTATCCTGTTCTATATAACGTGAGTAGCCCATTTTCTTTATGTTTTTTTTTTGTAAACTCTAAAATTAAATTTATATTTCATAAATACATCAAGTGAGAACACGAAAATAAATTTATGCAATATGGAATTTCAGAAAAGGTTTTAAATTTTATACCTACACATAATGGAACCAGCACGAATACACGTGTGCTTCTGGATACGTGTCAACAAAAACTTGGCGTAGGGCAGTCTCAAAGTCGATCATTATAGAGACTGGTCTGACCTCTGGATATTTCATTTTGAATCTCTCCAATACTTTTCTGTATGATGCTTCAGTTTTGGCCTCCATTAGCACATAACATACGGGTATGGACTAAAAACACATTGAAATTGACATTACGATTCATTTTTAATATTTAATGCAAAATAACTATTTAATCTTACGTGATTTTGTAGGATCAAGTGAATAATAAACAATTGTCGACATTGAGGCGTTGATGGAACTACTTTAAACGTTCCATCAGCATGTAATTCTGTGGCACCTTGGTTAGCTACAGCACTAATAAGATCATTGCAACAAAACATTACGCTGTACTTGCCATCTCTGTCAACCATCTACTCTTGATAAAATGTAGAATTATTACATTGATATCTATAAATGGAAATACTTAAATTACTATAGTGAGTAATTTTATAATTAATCAATTTTAATCTTACTTGTCAGCATTCAAATCTAAATGTTCGCCCAACTCTTGCAATGTATGTGATAATTCTGGACAAACAATTCTTCTAGACTGTCGCATGGAAAACTGCTGTTGGCCAACTATAATTTAAACCAGCTTCTGGATCTCTATCAGGTTTATTATAATATATTATAATACGTAACATGACTTGATGAAGTGGAAACCCGGCATTTTTAAATCCCGGAGTAACAATGTTCATAGTAATATCAAAATATTTCATATTTAGTACCCGGTGGCGGATCCAAGGGGGGATGGGGTGTAATAGGGTAAATATCCCCTTGAGTTTATTATATAAAAATGTATTACATTGCGACTTGTGAAAAACACTGGTTATATTCAGCGTTACGCATCGTTATAATACAAAAATATAACGAAAATAATGTACCGAATACCTAAAAGAATTACAATAAACTATGAATTATCGATAAAACAATGATGATCAAAATGAAATGAACATAGCTTTCGGTTAGGAAAAATATCAGATTCATTATATTTACAAGCTTCCAACCGTTTTAATCTAATTACTGGATCTTTAGGAAATCTAAATATATTTGAAGACATTTATTTCTTTAGAAATATTCATTAAATGTTTATGCCACTATAAATAAATATTAATTATCTAATGTCTTACACATGCAGAGTTAATCCGGAATTTAATTTAACTGATTTTAAGCAAAAAACACACGCATTAAAGTTACTCATGAATTCATGATTAAAAAAGGAAATTATTTATTCAATAAATAAATAAAAAATAATATGGGTACAGAATAATTTGTTAAGTAAGTACTCAAGTAAAATTTAAGACAGAATTTTTTTTCTACAAAGGTTCTAGATTCACTATTATGAATTATCATAGCCAATAGGATTGTTATATACTCTTTCGGTTAAGGCCAAAAGGTATATGTATGTTGTAAAAGAGTTCGTTCACTTACGGGTTATATTCAAAACACTACACAAAATCTGTTTAACTTTAAGAAATTATTTTATTAATAATTTTATTATAAGAATATTTTAACAACACAGTATTATGCGAATCGGCTACTTATTCACGACTAACTCTTGCTTATTCTACGTTCTTGTTTTGGCGACGCAGTCGCTTGCAAAAAAAATACACATATTGCTTACACTACTATATTATTGTATAATATGCTTATATGCTTACTAATCTAAAGTGTGTATGCAAGGGTTCCTAACGGGATAATAATTATAAATTTTGCTACCGGTGTCTATGACATATTACAATGTGGGCCGCGGCTCGCGGGTTGATGAAATGCTGATTGGCGATTGCTGACCCCTTAGATCATATTATTTAGGTTAGTTATCACTATGATAAACATGCGACGAGTAACTTTACGCATGCGCACATAAAGGACCTCATCAAGAGACTCGTCGCTGATATCGGCAACAACTTTTCGTTTGGATACAATACACCGTGGCTCCATCCATAGTATAATATGATCTAAGATCCATAAACTAGTTATATAAGTTGATAACATTATCAATATACAGATAAGTGATAACGCTAAAATTCACCGCTTTATATTACTTTAAAAATTTAAAAATTAAAAACTATTTATTAATTCAATATTTTAAATGTAATTATTTTTTTTTTATGATACTTATAATAATTTAACATTGATAAGTAATAATAAATGATACAATAAATAACTAAGAATCGTATTAAAATAATAAAATGTATGTCAGAAAATTATCGATGAAACATACTTTACAACAAGTTATAAATCATCTTAAGCTTTCAAGATATAAGAGCACAAAAACTTTTGATAAACAGTAATATTTCATATTTTAGTTCTTTATCTTATAAATCATTATTTTAGTAAACAATAAAAATATTATTTGTTTATTTTTAATTTTTTACCAATATATTTATTTGGAAAAAAATTGAAAACTAATTTCCTACATATCTTTTAAAACAGTTTATATTTTGCAGTAAATGGAAAAGTGTTGTTGGATTGGAAATACATGCTCAAATTTCAAGTGAATCAAAATTGTTTAGTGCAGCCGGCACTAAATTTGATGCAGTGGTAAATTCTCAAGTGGCATTGTTTGATGCTGCAATTCCAGGAACACTTCCCGTAAGGTTTAGTTTAATTATAAATAACTTAAATAAATGTATGATAAAATATAAATATAAATTGTTTGCAGAGAATTAATGAAAAGTGTGTTGAAGCAGCCATATTAACTGCCTTAGTATTAGGATGTAATCTAAATACAGTATCATCATTTGATCGCAAACACTACTTTTATGCAGATATGCCGGTAAAATTATACCTTTTTTACATATTTATTCAAGCATTTTTTTGATCAAAAATCTCTATTATAGTATTGAATTTATGCACAGCTAAACTTATTGTAAAGGATATGTTTTGTTAGAGAAATAGTTTAATGATATTTAGTATTAATTAAAATATGTGATATTTGGTGCTAAATAACATTTAATTTAACTTAAAATGTTAATTACTTAATAAAATACAAAATTATTTGGAATTTATGTTATTCAGGTGTTAAACTGACATAATGTATGAATTTAACTCTGATAAAACGTTTATTTTAATTGCTTCTCTAAGTATAATGTCTAAGTTCTATATAATTCATATTTCTTTAAAACAATTATATTTTAATTACTTATCATTTTTAATATTTTTAGGCAGGTTACCAAATAACTCAACAATTTCATCCATTAGCAGAAAACGGACAAATTAGTTTTCATGTTATAGATCAAAATATAAATAAAATTCCTTACTGTAAAACTTCTTTAATTAAACAAATACAGTTAGAACAGGACAGCGGCCGCACAATTTATGATGATTTTTCTAAGAAGTAATTTCTTTTATTATAATTTTTAATTACATTTTAGGAAATTCATACTATTTCTGTAATTTAAATTCTTTAAGCTAGCTATTTATTTTAAAATTAATCAAATTATGCGAATTAAATCTTTATTATTAAATATTTTAGTTACTTTAATAGTGTATTTTGTAGACCAAAGCATTGAGTCATAATCATTTTTTTCTTTGTTTCAAATTAGTAATAGTAATGAAATATATTATATTGTAATAACTTAATCTAAAATTTTTAGTTTAAAATATAACATGGTGACTGCACATCACTACTTCAGTAATGATTGTCAATTTGAATGTTTTTTTTTTTTTTAATTTTGCATATTTTTTTAGTAAAAAATATATTAATTAAATTTAATTTAAAATGTTTTCAAATAAAAACATTTCATCCTGTTACATTTTATATTAATTTACTTTTAAAAAGCTTAAATGTATTTTTAGTACACTTGTAGATTTAAATCGTGCTGGAACAGGGTTGATGGAGCTTGTGTTTGAACCTGATTTGTGCAATGGTCTTGAAGCTTCTGCTTTAGTCAAAGAATTATTACTGATATTTGAACGTATCAAAACGTGTTCTGGTCAAATGGAAGGTAACTAGTATAATTTTTAAATTATTTCTTACATTTTTATATGTATTATAGTCTTGTAGAATTTAAATCTTTATAAGAAACTATAAAATATATATTTATGTTAAAATTTATCAAAAATAGGAATTTTCAGTAGATAATTTAATAAATTACTTTTGTTTTAAGAAAACCATGACTCTTTATTTTTATATAAATTAAGTAAATAACAAAAAAAAAAAATGTTGAAAATGTATAAACAAAATAAAAATAGTTATTAATTTGTTTCACAAAATATTCTTTAATGAAAAATATTTATCAAAATACATTTGCAAAAATAAAAATGACATAAATACTTCCATAGTTTAATATTTTAAAAATTCTAAGTCAAAATTTTTTTAATATGTAATATTTATAAATTATAATAATTAGTATGTATAGATGTTCTATTTTATTAATAAAATATTACCTAAATAATTATATTAGTAAAATACAATTAATTAGAGAAATATGCAAATGCATAAAATGCATTGCATAGTATAGCCCCCATGGCTAAGTATTGCAATAAATTAATATTATTAATGAAATACATTTATTAGTATCCCTGTGGTAAATAAATTATAGGTACATAATAATAATTTAATTAAAATTATTAAAATGAAAAGTAAAACAACTTTTTTTTTTACTATGATTTTTTATGGTATTGTTTCAAATATTATTCCTATTAAAAACAATCCACGAAGAAACCAAATGCTTTTATAAAAGATTCCACAGCCATATTTCTTCTTACTCAAACCCTTTAATTAAAAACTTTTCCACCTTCATGATTTCAGGTAGCTTAGCTCTAGTTGCTTAAAACACAAATAGTGTAGAGATCTATTAAAAAAAAAAAAAGAATTTTATAATTGTACTTTTTATTTTAATATTTATTATTGTATTAATGTTGTATTCTGTATTAAATAGAGGGTGCTTTAAGAGTTGATGCAAATGTTTCAATTACTGATAGTGATCAACTAGGCACACGGACTGAAATAAAAAATCTGGGAAGTATACGAGCAATACAGTTAGCAGTTGATTATGAAATTTTTCGTCAATTAAACCTAATAAAAGAAGGTAAAGAAGTAGTGAACGAAACAAGAGGATGGGATTCTATTAATAATAAAACTATATCAATGAGGGATAAAGAAGTTTTACAAGTAATTTAGAATTAAATTATACTATTTTATTTAATAATAAAACAATTAAACTTTACTCTTTATAGGATTATCGGTTTATGCCAGAACCAAACTTATTACCACTTAATTTAAATATGTTTGATATTAACAAATTACAAAAAAATATACCTGAATTACCAACTGTAACTCGTAATAATTTAATGAGTAAATATGGTTTAAATATAAGGAAAACTACAACATTAATGGTAATTATATTTAAAACATGTTTAAAAATTATACTTTGTCCAGCAAAAGATTATACTACCCCTCTACGAGAATCTGTTTGTTTTGCACATCTTCGCACATCATCCAGCAATAGCATACTTACCTAGAACACAGGCTGTAACTAGTCTAGTTGTTTAGAAGGGAAAATAAGGTCTTGGAAATAGCTCTGTTGTCAGTTTCATGTACATATTTGGTGTATTCTCTTGCTGGAAAAAGTATAAGTCTTATGTTATTTATAATTTTTACATTAAGTTCAATTTTTTGTAGAATGAACCCGTTTTATTATCAATGTTTATTGATATAATGAATAATGATACATTTAGAAACCCATCAAGGGTTTGGAATGTATTAACCATTGAATTTTTGACTGAATTAAATAAAAGATGTATCAAACCTAAGAAAAGGTGTGTTATACTGTTTTAAATATTTTTCTCAGTAAAATAAAAACTTTAATAACATACAAAATATTAATTTTAAATGGTTTTTTATTTAAAGTGAAATTCCATCTTCTGTCATTGGTGAAATTGTGGATTTACTAGATAATAAAACTGTGAATTTGGTTCATGCAAGAAAAGTTATTTCTAAAATATTTGATGAAAAAAATAAATCTCCATCACAAGTAAGTTTATATTTTTAATGTTATTAATGAAAAAAATAAGCACAGTTTTACTTAAAATTTTAATTCCAATCACTTTGATTTTTAGATTGTTATGGAAAATAACTGGGAACAAATTTCTGATATAGAAGAAATAGAAAAATTATGTAAAGAAGTTATGCTTGAGAATCCAAAGGCTGTTAAAGATTATCGTAGAGGAAAACAACAAGCCATAAAATTTTTAATAAGTCATATTGCAAAAAAAACAAATGACCGTGTAAATTTAGCTCTTGTTTCAAAAAAATTAGAAGAATTCTTAGTAAAATGATTAGTTTGTTTTTAATATATTTTATTATTGTTTTGTATATATTAAATTTATAGTCTGAAATTTGTTTGAATACTCATTAAGAACAATAAATTCAATCAGGGAGTGAATTTTATTTTATTTGCATTTAAATTTTATAAGTTTTACATAATCAAAGTTATCATCATCATTGTGTGTCACTTTTGCTACCTATTTGTTCAAATAACTGAGTTATTACTAGATACTATCCCTTATGGCTTATACCTTAATTTAGGTATATTACTGCTGTTCTGTCCATAGACATATAGGTGCGTATTTTATATTAGAAAAAATTATTGACTGTGTTGCATATACACTACAAATTCTGATAAACAAGTTGTTCGTTTTTGAGTATTATGATCTAAGAGTAGTGATTTATTACAGAACCATCATTGAATCATTTTTTTAGAACTCATTGTGATTCATTTACATAAAAGCACTTAATGCATTTGAATTAAAATATCTGTGGTGATAAATAAATAAAATTAATTTTATGTAAAGCTAAGTTAGGTAGGTTAACCTACAAATATCAATAAATAAACTTAAAAAAATAAAAAAATGAATTTAATATTAACCTTACCTTTCTAATTTGTGGTTATTAATGCTGTAATTAAATATTTCAGACTCTTGTAAGAAAATATTTTAGATGCCTATATAAGTATAATGTAGAGCGTCGGTGTGAATAAGGTGTAATTTTTCCTATAGTCTGTAGGTATTTAATACATAACTTAACATTAATTAATACTGACTGGTTAACGTTGTTATAATCAAAATAATATTAATACAGTGATACTTCCACTAACGGACATTTTATTAGGAAATTTTTAAAATAATGGTAATCCTTAATAATTATTTGAAAATAATACGTATTCACAATATTCACATACGTATGCACTCTCGTAATAATGTAATTACGATAACAAACTCGTTATGGGACGATACGATTACGACAAATTCGGTTATCGGTGAAGCGGTTATGTGTTAATGCGTTATGACAAAAGTATGTCAGTTAGTGACGGTTTTCGACGCGATGACTACGTTAATTGTTAATTATAAACAAAGCTCACCGATTTTTTCAAACAAAAATAATTTAAAAATACATGTACATGATTTTGATTTTGATTGTAAAAATATACTTTAAATAATAATATGTAATTAATAATAATTTGTAAAAATATAAAAATATAATAATTTACAATAAATAATAAGTAATAACATTATATGTATGTATATATACATACATAGTACATTATTATACAAATAGATTTCAAAAATGTATCCCCTCTGAATAACGGACAAAATGTTGGTGACCAAGAGGCAAGAGTGTCCGCTATTCAGAAATTTCACTGTATTTCATATTTATAAAACTAAAAATTACAGATTAGTCATAAGGCATGGCTAATATCGACATTAGCCGGCCAACGTCGACAATGTCTAAATGTTAACATTACCTGTAAGTTGTAACATATTAATACATTCGTCTGATTGCTAATTTTAGTTTATCAGTAAAGTTTTGATATCTTATTGCAATTATTATCTCGTACAAAAAAAGTTATTGTCGTGTCACTTTTTAACAAATAACAATAATACATAATAATTCAAAATTATTACTATTGGGCATTGGCCGAGGAGAAAATCATGTTATTGCATCGTTGAGGATGAACGTAATTGGTATGGGGTGAGGAAGAATACCGAAGATACCGATTGGGTTGAAGCCGTTTCAGACTAATCCTTAAACGTGGGAAATGTTTGACGTTACTGGGCGAATCCCGAATGCTGGTAGTAAAGTATATTCCTGCGATGGCCGCTGTAAACGAGGTAGGCAAAGGAATAAGATGTAACATTTCCATATAACACTATTATAATAATAAATTATTTCATGTTATGAACCACATAAATATAAACCCAAAACGGACATATTATTTAATATTTTAGTTTTATAACATACGTTCTTAAAACACATTAAATAAATTAAATTTTTATTTTTTGGGAAGGACGGTGTAATATTTTAGACATTAGTTTTTGGACATAAGGTTTAAGTTTACTCGATAGCTTTAATCATAGTATGGAATAGTTTTGAATGCAGTTTAGAAACTAGATTCTAATATCAACAACAGCGGTGAATGTATTTCCGTGTAAATAAAATGTGGAGAATTTAACTAAACTTTAAGTGCTGTATTGGTACTTGATATTTCTGGATAATTTTTTCGTACGTGAAATCAGTAATTTTGTTAACGGTCCAATATGCGACCTACACATTAACTTACGTTTCCATACGCAATTTACGTCATAAATTTAAAATACAAATAAATGTCTCCACATTATAATCGACCACGGTTAAACAGTACACTTCCTTTTACCTCGAAAAAGGAATTCGTCAGTTTGAACAGCATAACCATGACCACCCATTTTTTCTCTTCTTGAAAAACAATATACTGACATATTTCTGCAAATATTATACCAATCAATAATGGTGTTTTTGCTTCTACCAATTTACGGTTTGATTTACTGGAACTAAATTAACCCATTTCAAAACTACTTCTATTAGGTATTTCGCAAAATTATAGTTGATTATTACGTTAAGATCCGTGTATGTAAAAAAGTTATTATTTTTACGAATCGATTGGTAAGTAAGACTGAAGACACTGAAGGCATGTATTAATAATTGTAATTATTAAAGAACAAAAATAAAATATAATTAAATTCCCATAACGACAATAACGAATAACCGCAATAAAGAAACCTGTAGAAGTAAAACGTAGATCAACACAATTTTATCGGTAGGTCGCATATTGAACTGTTTAATATAATTTTTATTACTATTTTATAAATGTCTATAATACTCGTATGCTATGTTCTTCCGATAATGTAAATTCTTTTATTCGATGAATATATTTAATAAAATATGTTATATGGACATTGGACATATGATTATCACCGAGAAAGTTTCACGGACTAAATAAGTATTAGATTCGAGGATCCCCAAAATTTTTTGTAATTATCTTGATCGGATTATTTTTTATCAGAATATAGGAAATAAATCGAATATCAAATATTAATTTTCAGTTTTTCTTTATTATCTATAATATGTTTAAGCTAATAAAATAACTGAAAATTATGTTTAAACATTCTTCAAATAACTTTTTGTTTGAATAATAATTATGTCTGAAAATTATTATTCAAATAATTAAAAAATAACGAACTGAATAGTTTTTAACTCGATTAATGTTCTACTCTAATATAAAAGAACATGAACTAAATGATATGAATAATTCATGAAATAAGTATGGTTCCTTAAATTTTACTTAAAAAACAAAAGATAGTTATCGAACAATATACTATAATAAAGTTTTTTAATAAGTAGTTTTTATTTTATTAAATAAAATTTATAAATGAGAATATATTATTTATATAATAATTGAAATAAATAATCTTCATAATAATTATAACCGAATCATCTTAAACAATAAATTATAATAAGTATAAAGTACTTAGCTCATTTCCATTGAAATAAAAAAAAAAAATTCAATAAAATTTAAGGTTATATAATATATACATAATACATATATTTATAATGTTTTGTTTGATTCTCTAAAAGTTCTTTTAGATACTGATTGAAGTGATTTTTTGAAGGTTTTTGTTTGAATTAATATATTTTTATTATTATTTTACATTAATTATACTATTCATTAAAATATAATATATGAATTTCAAAATTTTCTATGATGTCTATAAGTTGAACTTTTTTGATAAGATTTGAATTGAATACATAAAAAAAAAATAATTAAATTTAGAATAGATAGTTTCACAGGCATTAGTGGTTTTTAAAAGGAACTTTGTATTTTGCCCATATACACAAGAAAATTGTTTAGAATTTTCAGATATATATATATTATGTTTATTACCATGGAAATACGAGTAGTTTGTAAATTATTCATTAGTGTAATGAACATAAACTCATAGGCCATAGCCACATATATCATTCACCATTTCTGTGGTAAAAATATGATATTCTAAAAAAGCATATTTATAAGAAATATATACTAATTATTATTATGTTTATAATTAAAATTGTAATTCGGCGCAATAGTTATGCAATTTCATAACACCAGCGAGTAGAAACCCAATAAAATATACATGATTTAATGATGCTTCTTACACTATTATATCGTCTAGCGCAGCGTTTCTCAACCTTTTTACTGTGGCGACCCCCTTTTTGAATTTCAATTTTTTAGCGACCCCCTATATATATTATATTTTTTTGTATACTCGCATAGATTATTATTAATTACTATGATAATAGGTAGTGTACACGATAAAGTGTTTTATATTTATTGATTTTATTTTTCCATTACTTTATTTTATTGTTTGAACTTTAAAATTTTTGTATTTAAATTTTAAATAATACGTTAGCGACTCTAATTAATAAGTTGGCGACCTCTAAGGGGGTCGCGACCCCCAGGTTGAGAAACACTGGTCTAGCGGACTTAATTTAATATGCCTACCAAGGTACCGCGAGTATAAATAAATTACCTGTGACTTTTCATTAAACAGCATCTTCAAAGTTAAAATTTAAAAAATAAATACATTCAACTGTTTATATAGTATTATAACTTAGGGCTAGGGACTTAATGCTCTAAAATAACTAAAAAATGCATGTATTTACGTTCTTATATTATTATGCATTCTCTAAAAATATGTAAAATTGATATAATATGCTCTTAAAAATATTTTATTTTTCATTAAACAATCAAAAATTACAAATTTATTTATTAATAAATAAGACATTTTTAATTTGATTTTTACAAAAAATAAAAATTGTACTTAGTCTAGAGACTAGAATATTATATTAATTATATTAACGCCAGACGAAAACAAATACGATACCAACAGACGAATTGACATTAACTGACTGTACTCAACAGATCTTATGTTTTTTTCCAACACATAAATAATTGGGAAAACACACGGTAGATAGATTATTTAATCATTTATATATTTAATTTAAAAATAGTTTTTCAATTTCTAGAAAATTAATATTAAATTTTGTATTGTACGTTTACGTATGAAATATTATAATCTATGTCATATAATACTCATATATTGTTTTAACTTTTTTTTTTAAATATGTGAAATATGCACTTAAAATACAAAATATAACAAAATATGCACTTAAGGAAAAAAAGAGCTAAATATGCAAAACATGCAAAATAAAAATGATTGCTTTAAACTTTTAGTACTACGAAACAAATTTTTACAAAACTTAGCTATGCTTTGAATAATTATTGAAAAACTTACAGATTCCTATAAGCTCTTAGCTTTAAATTTATAGCATAAGTAAATACTTATAATTTTTAGTACTGTGTCTAGATATTTAAATTTTTATCAAAAGTTTATATTTTTTTAATTATACAAACTTTGTTTGACTACTCAGTATTCATTTACATAATTAATTTTATTAAAGTATCATTGGAGAGTTACACTTTAACAAGACTATTATGTTTTATTTTGACCACTTATATGTACTTAACTGTACTTGTTAACTTACCAATATACTTTAATGTCCTTTATTCTGAATCAAAAACTTGATTTGTATCTATTCTTCATAATTTTTAAGCTGAAAAATCTTATTCATATCAAAAGTTTTCATTGTTTTAGCTAGTATACATACATGCGATTCATTGTTATTTCACAAGTTTATGAGATTTTAAATATTTTAATTGTTAGTTCAAAAACGTGCCATCAATACGAAATCTCATTTGCGTA